TGGATTTATGCATGAAAAAATTGAGAAAAATGCAGTTTATTTTGTAAAGTGCAGTTTATTGTGCCAAAATAAAGTAAATTTTGATATGCATTGAATTTGCGGAAATGTGGAACATTAAATTTGGGGAAAATCTGACTATAAATAAAGTATGTGTATACCTTGTAAATACGAAATTTTGGAAACTTTGCGATTTTTTTACTATAGATTTCCTTGGAGATCTTGATGAAAATAAGGAGATTTCACTATTTACATATTAAAAATGGCAAGTCTACTTTGAAAACGTTGGGTCAAATTACAATAGTTGGAGTGAATTTGGTGACGGAATGATGACCCCGAAGCGGATATGTATTTGCGTAAGAAACGCCAAAATATTTATGAAAAAACCATAAAAATTAAAAACTTTGGTAAAATTTGATTTTTTTTAAATACTCTGTATTTTGTGTGGTAAAATATATCTACACAACAAAATTCATTTTAATATCTTTAAAATACATAGAAAATATATATCTATTTTTGAAAAATATCTTAAAAGATTTACATCCTTTTCAAATAATAGCGAAAACATTTATAAATTTCTGTAACATATAGAAATATGTAGCAATATTTTTTAAAAAAATTGAATTTTTTTTATCTATTTTATGGAACATATCCACAAAGTTTGACCGTCGGTCGTCATCCCCTAAAAATAAATACATATCCGCCTTCTTTCTGCCCCACATGATGACATGTTTTATGTCTGTGTGGTGTTAGTTGATCCATCGGAAATATGATTACGATGAGGATTTCTGAGCCAGGAATCAGTTTTTTCTTCCTTTTTTTCCTTCTTCGGATCGTTTCCATTATCTTCTTTTTCTCTTTCTTTTCTTCTATTTTCTTCTTTCTCGGGAGGTTTGGTATCTCGTCTTTCTGCTCGGTTGGTTTTGGTTTCGGTGGTGGTTTGGTTTGGTTTGGTCACTCAATTTGGTTGGTCGTGTAAGAGAGAGAAAGTGAAAAGAAAAGAAAGTGTGGAATTATGGGGGGCTTAGTTTCATCAATATTTCAACGAATGGGTGGATGAAGAATTGAGGAGAAAAAAATAAGGGGGGAAATTCTTACGTAAATTTTTTTTTTCTGGGGAGGGGGGAAGTTGACGATGTTTTTTAAATTAAAACTGTTTCGGTTTGTATGCAGATTATTTATGTGAAAACAGTTTTAGGGTTTTATAAGTTTGAACGAGTGGATGGATGAAGAATTGAGGAGAAAAAAATAAGACGGAAATTGTTACGTAAAATTTTGAAAAAAAAATTTGCTGGGGGGAGATTGACGTCGGTATTTGTATATTTTAGAAATTAAAGTTGTTATTACTTGTACACACAGATTATACAGATCATAGTTCTAATACATTTTAAGAATCTTTCAAATTGTCACAAATTTAAAAATATTTTGTTATTATCCGGAAGATTAATTTAGTATTTTGGAAATGAAGAAATTGCATAAATTGAACCTATGCACTGAGACAACTCACGCAGGCCTCGGTAACATTGCAAAATCCGTAAATTCTGTAAACTTACAAACTTGTGCAAAATTTTACAAATATTTTGAAGAAAAATTAGCTCCTATTAAAAAACACTTGCTCAGATCAAGGGCGTCTCTTTATTTTGCAAAAGTTTGAAATTATTTTACAAATTTGCGGGTTTTACAAAGTTATTACCAAGGATTTAACACATTCATTCAGTAAAACTTTCTAAAATTTTCAATAAGTTGGATGAAAAGTCGAATAGGAAAATACAAAGTTTTTCAAAAACAAGGTTGAAAATTGTTATTTTGTAAATTTAAAATATACTTTGCTTATGTGTGTAAGGTTCGCCGCCATTTGTAGAATACTATTGAATAAATGTATTTCCACAAATGTTCAGATTACTCTTGGAGATAACAAGGAGACTTATTGTTAGATGTAGAAACTTATAAAGTTTAAAGATCATTAGAAAATTCAGTTGTTTGGATTGCTTCCAAATTTTAGTTTGCAGCAAATTTTGGTCAATCTAGTTTTATAATATTTCAATGAATGGATGCATAAAATAGAGGAAAATGACAAAATAAAAAGAGTGATAAGATTTGAAATTTTCAAAACTACACCAATTTCGCAGTACTAATTATCCTTAAATATGTAAAAAGCAACTTGTGAATAATTGTGCATATGCACGAAGTTTGCATGTGTGAGTTTGTAAAGTGTAGAAAATTCGCATGCTTGTGTTGTTTCGTAAACTCACATAGTTTACCAACTAGATTATTTGAAATAGTTTAATCAAAATTGAAATAAAATCAACTAGATTTATGCGAAGGAATCTTTGAGGGGGACAGGTAGAAAATTTGACTGAACAAACTTTGCAAAATTTTGTAAGAGGCGATTTAATGTCTTTAAATATTTTTTTTGGAAGTCAAAATCCAAAATAGTACGAAAGATAGTAATAGTCCATAACCATTTCATTCGTGAATATAAAATATTTTAGAAGAGTAAAGTTGGTAAAAATTTAGAAAATGTGGCTGCTTTAAATAAATCACGTTACATAATTCATACTTGTAAATTATGTACTGCAAATTTAATTTACGAAGTAGCTAGTGTAAATTCGTGTTAGGAAAAATAAAAAAAATTGAAAAGGTTTAGCAAAAGGAAATTGGTAAGTATGAATGTGTTAGAAACACAATTTGGGAAAACTGTAGTTTGGGTAAACTTTGTGAATATTTTTTAAAGGTTTAACGTCACTTAATACATTTTAAAAATTAAATCATTTAAAGAATCAACCGTAATGTTAAAATTTTCATACATGAAATGGACATACATACTCATACTAATTTTAATTTTTCAAAATTTTTTACCTAGTTTCCACAAATAATTTTATGGGAAATTATGCCACGAAAAACCTTCAATTGTTAAATACATCCATTTATTGGCTAATTAACTCCACTGTTAAAAATCTGGTATTGGTTTCTCACATTAGAATAAACTTTGCACAATTTTATGAATTTTACATCCAATTTTTTTCCCCCAGTTTACCAACCTTGACGTGAATAATACGATTAATTTTCCTGATTCTTTCTCTTCTGAATGAAACATTTCTTTCTTTCTTCTTGGCGCGATTTTCCGAATTGTGGGATTATTGATATCTGTGTGACCTTATCGACCACCCGCCCGCCATTTTCATCGGATATCGGTGGTTTCTTGGTTGGCTATGAATGAATGAATGAATCGAGTTTACGAAGGTGGTTGGTTGGTGGAAGGAAAGATTATTTCTTTCAGTGTGACACGATCGATGATAAAGTCTCATAAATCTCTCGCCCAGTTAGCTCCTCTGTATTCTAGGCTCGTACACACGTGTATGTGACCATGGTTTTTGGTGGATTTTGGTCGTTCTGTCCACGTGTGTGTGAGTCAAAGAATAAAAATTGTTTGGTTTTGAGGAAGGAAATTCATGAAATTTTTTATAATTTAGTAAAATAAAATTTAGGGAAAAATATATAAACAAAACATGAAATGAGTTTTGATTTTCAAAAATATTAGTTTAAAACCACGTGGGTGTGTGTGAGTGAATCAAGGAATGAAAATTATTTGGTTTTAAGAAAGGAAATTCATGAGATTCTTTATAATTTAGTAAACTTTAAAAAAAAACTTAACAAATATTATTTTAAATCACTAGAAATTTGTAACGATTTTTATGTTTTTTTTGCATTTAGGTATCCAAAAGGAATTTGCGTATTAATGTAATTCATAGTGTTTCGACACCGTTAAATGTTTTTGGAAATGTCACAGGTTTAATTAAAATTACAGATGTTCAGGTTCTTGTTAAAAATTTGCATAACATGTGTAAAACCTAAAATTTTGTACAACAGAGAAGAACAAAGATTAATTCCTGGGTAAATTTTTCAAAATATTTTTTCTAATTTGAAAACGATTTATTGTGTTAATCTAACTGCTTAGTTGATATGTTAAAAAACAAATTTCTGAAAATCAGCTCTGAAAAAAAAAAAAAATTAGTCGCCGTTAAAAATTATTTCATGATTATTCCAAACTTAATACAAACATCAGATGCTGTGTTTTTGTAGCAAAATGGAGTAAATAATTTTTAAGACAAGGTTCACAATTTTATCTTTGCCTGTTTGTGTTTGTAATCGAGTTGTAGTTGAATTTCATAATGACGCAACTAACGCAGTGCTTGATTACTTTATACAATCCGTAAATTCTGTAAACTTACAAACTTTTACAAATATTTCTGAGGAAAATTACCTTACAAACTTTTGTAAACTTACTTATTCTGTTTATGTCTTAGTCTGTTTATTTTGTAAAAATTTGCGAAATTATTTTACAAAATTACGGATTTTGCAAAGTTACCAAGAACTGCGTGAATTGAGTCAATATTTACCTTCACAATTCTTTAGATTAAAAAATTCATTAAAATTTGTCGAGTTTTTGCTAAGTTCATTTAAGATTGAGCGAATTGGATTGTGATAATAAAAGAGAAATTATTTGCTACAGGCAAATAACAGTGCAAATTTAATTTTGCGGACTTTTGCCAAGTTTACACAGCCCAAGGAGTGAATTTGATTGAAATGATGAAGAAAAGATCAAGTAGAATTCTTATTCATTGATAAAAGACAAATTATTTACTACGCTAAAAAAAGACGGTGCAAATTTAATTTTACGGACTTTTGCCAAGTTTACACAGCCCAAGGAGTGAATTTGATTGAAATAGTGAAAAAGAGATGAAGTGGAATTCTTATTCGATGATAAGTAAGTACGAGACCTTTTTTGTGAAGAATGGAATGCGGTGTAACTTCATGAGAGGAAAAAAAGTTTGTTTTCTTTCCTCTCGTCCTCCCGATGGATCGAGAATTTGGGAAATTTTGATGAGACTGAATGAATGAATGAAGTGAAATGGGGTGAGAGGGCGGTGCAGAAAGGATGATGAGGTCAAGGTTAAATTGATACCGGACTGGTAACAAATTTGAGTCTTGGGAGAAATTATTGGTTTTAGTGCAGCTTTTATTTGGTACAAATTTCATTTCTGTGGGAATTACCTAAATATTTCTGCAGTAAAACTTGACACGTTTAAAAATTTGAAACGAGTTGGATGAAAAATCTGGCAGAAAAATGCAAACTTTTTGAAAAATACGTAACGTTTGACGTCATTTACACGATATTATTTAAAATATGCATGTATATAATTTAAGATTTCGAAAACATTGAAATGTAGATTAATTCACAAGGACCTTGTAACTTTGTAAAATTCGTAAACTTACAAATTATTTCGAAAGTTTACTCATATTTCTGAGGAAAATTAACTTCCAAATTTTGTAAACTTACTCCGATCTTTATTTTGTAAAAGTTTCCACACTCATTTCACAAAACTTTCCCGTTTTACAAAGTTACTAAGCACTGCGTACCCTCAAATATCGACATTTCTTCTGCACAACCCCCCATAGAAAATCGAGTTTGATTAGTTTTGTGAGTTTGCGATCCTTGTATTTTTCTTCCCCTTCTTTTGTGGAACCAATTACATTGGTCGGACGGAGGAGAGGTTGCTGCTTGGTAACTTTTGGCGTTTGGAGTGTGTTTTTCCGTCCGTTGTGCCATGTGCGAGATGGCTCCGTGCGATCCGGTCCCGCACACTTGTGACATTTTGACTGATTAGCCAAGAACAGGGACGGACTCGATCCAATTATTTTCATCGGGGTCCACCGGGACCTGGGTCGTCTTTTCTGCCTGGCTGGAATTTGGAAATAAAAAAATTTAGGGAGGAAAAATGACAAGGAAATTTTCGCTATTAGAAAGTTACCGGTTTTTAATGGTTGATTTGACAGTGGGGAATTGAAAATGGGAATTTTGTAAAGACAATTTTGAAGGAGAGGATTTTGGGAAGATTTGAATTAGAGAATTTGTAACAGGTTAAAATGAAGAATGCAAGGCTTTGTAATTTTGTCAAGATTTTAGAAATACTTCGAAGCAAAATTATCTCAAAAATTTGTGTAAACTTACTCAGATTAAAGGCATCTCTTTATTTTGGAAAAGTTTTACAAAATTATGTTATAAAACTTGTGGATTTTAAAAACCTATGAACGAATACGTGAATTATCTCATGAAACGAAATTTATAATGTACCATAACTTTTTAAAGATTTGGGTTTAAAAAGTTTTTTTATATAGTTTTCGAAATATTTATTGGAAAGGAAAAATGTTGGATTTTGTTGATTTATAAAAAATTCCAATATTTCCGATAGATAAAAATTTAAGGGAAATATGCGCACATTTGTCAATTTTATTTTAAGAAGTGAAATGTTATGGAGAAACGTCGATAACTATTCTTTGTAATTTATTTATTCTTAAACTTTCATAATTTTAGATTAAGTTTAAGATTTTATGGGTATGCTTTGAAAACAAAGTTACCGTGAGTAGGCCTAATATCACGAAAAGACTGTCAACTGTTACATACGCGGAATATGTAGAAATTTTCATATTTTTTGAAAATCCGTCAAATTTTATTTCTGTGTTGTTAAATATTTTTTAATTGGCTAGAATAAATTTACACCGTGCTAGAAAATTTGGTTGCGTAACAAAAATTCCATGATTTTCCAGCAAAAAGCTTGCATGGAAAAGTTTCGCAAAACTACTCAATTTGATGAATGCAAAAGTTCTGGTTTCATAAAAAAGACTGCATACATTAGCCAAATGGATAAATTTCTCTAAAAATTTCCCCACTTTTATCGAAATTCCATCAATCTTTCATATTTTATTTCCATTTGGTATCCTTGTTTATAGCCATACAAACATTTTTTTACTTGGCCAGAACATGTAGCTGAGGGAAAGACATGCAAATTTTCGCATCAATTTGAAAAAAATGCATGGTTTTCCGGTAAGAAATTTGCATGTAAAAGTATTGCAAAACGACACAATTTGCTACATGATCGAGCTACATATATAAAGTTGTAATGTCACAGCGTAAATATTTCTAGAAGTTTTAATATTTTTTGAAAATCCGTCAATTTTTCATATTTTATTTCCATGTGGTATTTATGCCTATAGCCATACGCACATATTTTTTTAGTTGGTCAGAACCTGTACATAAGTGGCAGCTGAGGGAAGGAATTAATTATGGAGAGACCTTCGTGATGTGTGTCCAATCAGCCACATCCGCCCATCGAGGAAAAGAATATGATCCAATAACACAAAGCGTCACAGCTGCTGATCTTCCACCGTCGGCTGGTCACACATTGTGTCCTCCAACCACCAAAGGATGACACCAATCATCTCGCCTCCTGGAATTCGGGGGAAATTGTGAGATCAGAAATAAAAAGACTGGAAAATTGCTGGGGTGAGCACGTGCACAAATTATGGGACGCGAATTTTGTACGTATTTTTAAGGTAAAAACGTACATGCAGAAATTATGGGATACGAATTTTGCACGCATTTTTAATGCATGTATAAAATGTATGCAGAAAATATTTTGCACATATTATTAATTGATGACACCGTAAATACGTAAATATTGCGGAAATTATGGGACACCAACTTTACACCTATTTTTAATGTAAAAATGTATATGCAGAAATTATGGGGGAATTTTTGCACATATGTTTTATTGATGATACCGTAAACGCGTAAGTTATTAGGCGAATTGTGCATTTATTTTAATTAATGTCTTCATAAAAGTACCAAAATTTAGATAAAAACTAAGCTTAACAACTGATTTACATTTTCCGTCATTATATCAATAGTAAAAACAATATGTAAATTAGTTGATCTCCTTATTTTCGTCACCTTCAAACAACAGAAACCAACAAAAGGGGCTAGAATCATCTTTATTCATTATAAGTTAAGAAAATTTATTGTAAAATTAATCATCGACGTTTAAGCTGAGCAGTAAATTTTGTAAAATTTGGTTTATGTTTATGGAATATGCTAAATTTTAAATTCATATCTCTCTCAATCTGAAATTTTTTGAAATTTATAAAATTTATGTCATATTTTTACCAACTTAGGTTTTTTACAAGATTATCAAGGCCGGTGGAAATTTCATTGTCATTTTCAACGTGTTTTAAGTATGACAGGATAAAAGTAATGTAAAATTTTATATTCACGTCTCTCTCAATCAGAAATTTTTTGAAATTCATAAAATTTGTGCTATATTTTTACCAAAATTTAGTCTTTTTTACAAGATTGTTAGGCTGGTGAGAATTTCATCATTGTTTTCGACGTGTTTTAGAATAAAAATAATGCAAAATTATTAATTCTTAATTTGCATAAAATTTATGATTAACGGTCATATTTTTACCAAAGTTTACAAGATGATCAAGAAATTTCGTCATCATTTTCTCCGCTTAAAATTGCCTGTCTCTTCCTCTGAAATCCTGTCCCTGGAAATTTTGGCCAGACAATAAATACCTGAATTTTGACAAATGTCCGTCCATCCGTCACCTTTTGTAACCCTGTTAAAACGCCAACAATTAAAGGATGGCTGGCTTTTGATGCATACACATTTTCCTCTCCACACAATTGAATCAAATCGGGATGAAAAACCACATCAAGAGAGAGAGAGATTCCACATTATGAACGACATCCATCTCGACTCGAAATGCGAAATCGGACTTGTCATCTCTTTTGTGAGAGGACTGACTATGAGTTCCATTAGTGAGAGGGGAGCGGGACGTGCAGTAAAAATGGGGGTAAAACACGTGCTGAATTTATCATGTGGGATATATGTATCTTGCACGTGCTAAATGAGGAATTTAGCACGTAGGATAAATTTAACACGTGGTAAATTTAACAAGTGGGATTTGTGCGGGTGAAAATTCATTCCAGACTGAAAAAAAGGGGGTAAAGACACGTGGTAAATATAGCGCGTGAGATTAATTTTTCACGTGGCAAATTTAGCATGTGGGATTAATTTTGCACGTGGTAAATTTAACAATTTGTTTTAGGGAGTTAAAATTGACGCTGAACCGCAAAATATAGGTAAAGAAACGGTAAAATTATCACGTGGACTCAATTTTATAAATTTTGCAGATGAAATTTGTTTTGGGTGAAAATTAATGCCAAACTGCGAAATTGGGGATAAAGACACGTGGTAAATTTTGCACGTGGAACTTGTGGGGGTGAACATTGACGCCAATCTGCAAAATAGGAAGTAAGGAAACATGATAAATTTAGCACGTGGCCTAATTTTGCACATGGTAAATTTAGCACGTGTGGTTTGTGGAGGATGAGAAAATTGATGCCAACCTCCCTGCACAGCCCACTCTTTAGGTTTGGGAAGATGTTATTTTGCTTCCCGTCAAAACGTGGACAAAGGGATGAAATGAATTCAAAAAGGGATTATTAATGATTGTCAAGAGCAGAGTATTATGCAAAGATGGCATGAAAATTGAAATGAAAATACTTTTGAATTTGGGATGGAAAAAATCTGTATTTGATCCAAGGGGGAAAGGAGGAGGCTGGCTTGGAATTAAAATTGAGGGGGGAAGAAGCAAATATTATCTGTTGCAATAATTATTTTTACACAGGTTACAAATATCCGCGTTAACTAATTCACCAAAGCGACGATTTGCAACCTATGGAAATAAATTATTGCAACAGATTTTACATAATGTAGAATTGATCAACTTTCAAAGCCGGCGAGAATTTTTGTAAATATTTTACTCATATTTTATTTTGACAGATCAAATTTTTCATCTCCACAAATTCTATAATTTTTGTACTAAAATTTCAACAAATTTTAAAGAACGATTTTTAATTGGACTCATTTGCAATGGAACGGTGAGATTTTGAAGGGTTGAAATTTAGATTTTAAAGATTTCTAAAATTTTTGATAAGTTTCGAAAAATGGTAAACGAATATAATTGCAAATTCAGCTAATATAAAAATTTCAGAATTGCACAATTACTAGATTTTACACCAAATTGGGTTGAGATTTTTGACAAAAATAATTAACCTTTGCTAAAAAAAATTCAAAAATTTTGACGGCATTTTTAATTTGATTGTCACAACATTAATGCATTTATGTAAAGGGGCGAGATTTTGGCCGGGTAAAAGTTTTAGGAGACCGAGAGAGCAATTTAGTATTCCATGGGATCCGGTGGGATTGAGAGTTGACGGTGACGTGCCAGTTGACGGGTGACGTTTTGGACAAGTTACTTTGGTTTGTGAGAGAGAAGTTGAAAATGAGGGGCAGGATTTCTCTGGGGGGTTGCCGGAAAAGGAGGAAGGAAATGTCAGACCCCGATTTTCTCAGAGAGACACACAAATCCAACTTTTGAAATATGACGGCGTACTTGTCACGTCGTAAAAGTCGTCGTCGTCGTGTCGGGCATCTCTTTATTTTGTAAAAGTTTGTAAAACTATTTTACAAAATTTACGAATTTTACAAAGTTACAAAGATCTGCGTGAATTGCCTCATTACGTAAATTGGTAGAAATTTTAACGCATGCTTTCAAAATATAATTTTGTAAATCATCAAATTACATTGAAATAGTCATCTAAATAACTCTTTGCGTTTGCAAAATGTTCAAATATTTATATTTGGCGTAATTAGTACACATTTTTTTAAAACTTCGCCAAGTTGTAGTTTTTTTAATTCAACGTGATTTTTTGAATAAATGAGGGGCAGGATATCTCTGGGGGGTTGCCGGAAAATAAGGAAGGAAATGTCATACCCCGATTTTCGGAGAGAGACACATACAAATCCAACTTTTGAAATATGACCGCGTACTTGGCACTTCGTTACAAATGATGAATTTGTAATTTTATAAGTGACACTCAATGTATTTGGGATGTTAAAAAGGAGGAAATTCAGGGAGACTTTGTAAAATCCATAAATTCTGTAAACTTACAAGCTTTTACCCAATTTTATAAATATTTCGAAGGAAAATTAGTTTATAAATCTTTGTAAACTTGCTCCGATCAAAGATACCTTTTTGTTTAGTAAAAGTTTGTAAAATTATTTCACGAATTTTACAAAGTTACAAAGGACTGCGTGAATTGTCTCTTTGTAAACTATAATTTTCCAATTTTAGTTTGGACAAATTGGGACAAATTTTAACGCATTGTTTCAGGAAAAAATGTTTCAGATTCCCTGAATGATCAAGTTGTAAACAATCTAAATAACTTTTATGTTTCCAAACACTCCCAAATACTTATGTGTGACGTAATTGAGACACATTTTTTGATTTTTCAAAAACTTCGCAAAGTTTTAGTATTAATTGCTTTTTTTGTAAAATTATTCAGATCAAGAGCGTCTCTTTATTTTGTATTTTGTATATTTAAAATTATTTTTAAAAAAAACGCACCGGTTCTACGAAGTTATCCTTCGCAAATTGTCTTATTGCACAAATTAGTACAAGTTTGCACTCAATGTTTTTAAATACCATCTTGCAAACCTGCAGGTCTCTTACGAAATCTGAATAACTTTTTTAATTTCTATAAAAATCCCAAAATATTTGTTTGACGTAATTAAAACACATTTTTTGATTTGTATAAAAATTCCTAAAGTTTGAATCTAAATATTAAATTCTTGTCGCAAAAGATAATTAATTTTTAATTTTATAAGTGACAAAATTGATTTAGAAATTGTAAACAAAGCCACGAAATGTTTGAAATCTATAAATATTTCCACGAAAATTCTTAATCTAATGCATATCCTAATTATTAATTAAACATTGAAAAAATATTATGATTGGTTTAATTTCATGTAATACATATTTTGAAAAAATATGGAATTTTCAAGAATTTTAAAACAACTGAATTTTTGAACGTGACGGAATCGATTTTACGAATGTTGGGAAACATTTGAAATTACATATAAAAACAAAACATACAAAACCATTATCTAATGCATTTACTATTTGATAATTAAACATTAAAAGAAATTATGATTGACTTTTTAATGCCACATTTTACGAAAATTTCTTACACTTTTTGAGACATCATTAAACTCGGATGTTTATAAACTCATTTGTAAGCTTGGGAATTTTTGTTTTGTTTGGAAATTAAGGGAAAATTTCGGAAATTTGACATATCTTTTTAAAAAAGCAGGTTTAATAGTATAAATATTGCAAATATTCTTATTTCACGTAATGTTACACTCTGTTCTAAAATGCTTTTGTGACCCGGAAAAGTTCAGGGGACATAAAGTAATCAATTTTCCTCATGTATTAATACCCGGATTAGTACTACCCGGGTATCTTAATAAATAAATATTAATTTCTACACAAATCTGATAATTTAAAACTCGAAATGGGACATACATATTTGCTCAAAAAA